ATTTCCTAAAGGAAAATGCAAACACGCATATTCTCATGTTTAAGATGCATTGAAAGTTCAGGCTGATCATGAAAGAGGAGGAGAAGGAAAAGGAGGAATACAATGGGAGGGGAAGGACACAGATTTAAAACATATGCTATATTTTTTCATCATATTAGAATAATTAGTATTGGTTAAATATTCTAAGTTTATAGTATAATAGCAGCCAAAATATAGCTCACTAAAGAGAATGTTGTTTTTCGCTGATGAAGAGAAGTCATGACCTGTTTACACCCTTGTTTTATAAGTTCTTTTTTTTGTCAGTAAGAGAGAGTTTTAAATGAGATAAGCTCAGTAGTTTTTTGTTGTTGTTGTTTTGTTTTAACTAATAAGCTTTATTTTTTTATAGCAGTTCCAGGGTCACAGCAAAACTGAGGGGAAAGGACAGGAAGTTCCCATACACCCTGTCTCCACAGAGGCACGGCCTTCCTCTGTCCACACCCCATACCTCGGGGGCACTTGTTACAACCTGTGAACCCACGCTGCTGCGTCCTTATCACCCGAAGTCCATAGCTGACATGAGGGACCATCCTGGTGTTGCACATCCCATGGGATAAATGCAGCATAACAGGTATCCACGACAGAGTAGATTCTTTGCCCTAAAAACTCCCTTTGCCCTGCCTATTCGTTTTTCCAGAATGTCAAATAGTTGGAATCACACAGCACAGAGCATTTTCAGATTGATGTCACCCACACTTAAAATGCATTTAAGTTTCCTCCATGTCATCGCTTTTATAGCTCACGTTTTGTTTTTTTTTTTTTTAGCACTGAAGACTATTGCATCATCTGGATGTAACACAGTTTATGTATCCACTTACCTACTGAAGGACATCTTGGTTGCTTCCAAGTTTTGAGAACTATAAATAAAGCTGCTTTTGCATTTTTCTGATGACTTTTGATGTGGAACATTCTTTTATGTGCTTATTTTATATTTTTGTACACACACACACACACACACACACACATATGTATATTTGGGGGTTATGTATCTTTTGCCCATTTTCAGGCCAGGTTTTCTTTTCTTATCATCAAGCTTTAAGAGCTCACTGTACATTTTGGATAACAGTTTTGTAACGAGGTATGTCTTTTGCAAATATCTCCCAGTTCCTGGCTTGCCTTCTCATTCTCTTGATGCTTAGTAGTTTTTAGTATTCCCAGGTGTGTTGAATTATGCAGCTTCCTAACAAAAGAGAAAGCTTTATATAATTTTCAGATTGTATTGTCAGGTGAATTAACCTCTGGTTTCATTTTTATCAATACTGATTGTGGAGATCTTTATAAAATCATGTTCCTTTCAGAAATGAAAGGTAGTCTCCGAAAACACATTTTTATCTTCTCCACTCGGCTTTTTAATAAAATTGTAGCTTTTCATAGCATGTAAAACTTTATCATGCACAAATGTTTTGCCTTTTGTGGGCAGAGGGATATGCAGCCAAAGTGTGTTTTTAATAAAATAAAAGAGAGACACTATTGGCAAAAGTGTAGGCACACAGAGCAAAGGAGCAAAATGGAGATCCCAGAAACAGACCCCACAGAAACAGAGTCTCCTGGTCTATGACCCGGGAGTGAAGGCAAAGAAATAGAGCAAAGAATCTTCTCAAAAAATGGTGCTGGGATACCTGGACATACACGTGCAAAGAAGTAAATCTGGACACAGCCCTTTCACCCCCCACAAAAATTAATTAATAAATGTAAAAATAAATTTTTACATGTATGTCTTTTGTAAATATATTTAACTATATTTACAAATATATGTGTAAATCCTGGAATCTAACATGGGAGAAAACCTAGATGACCGTGGGAATGGCAGTAACTTCTTAGGTACAACACCAAAGGTTGATCCTTGGAATAAATAACTGATAAGCTGGACTTCATTAAAATTAAATTTTCTGCTCCGTGAAAAACACTGTCAAGACAATGAGATGACAAGCCACAGCATGAGAAAAAACATTTTCAAAAGACACATCGGATAAAGGACTGTTATTCAAAATTTACAAAGAACTCTTAAAAATCAATAAGAAAACTCAACTTGAAAATAAATAAAAGATCGTAACAGATACCTTAGCAAAGAAGACATACAAATAGCAAATAAGCTTATGAAAGGATGCTCTACATCATATGTCATCAGGAAAATGCAAATTAAAACAATATTTACATACCACTATATACCTACTAGAATGGCCAAAATCCAAAACACTGACAACACCAAATGCTGACAAGGATGGGGATCAACAGAAAATCTCATTCACCTTTGGTAGGAGTGCAAAGTAATGCAAGTATTTTGGAAGACAGTTTGGTAATTTCTTACAAAACTAAACATATCCTTACCATACAAACCAGCAACTGTGCCCCTTGATATTTACCCCAAAGAAGTAAAAATTTAGATTTACACACACACACACAAAGAACCCTTCACATGAGTGTTTATTGCAGCTATATTCATGGTTGTCAGACTTGGAAGTAACCAAGATGTCCCTCACTGGGTACATAAATAAACCATGGTGTGTCCAGACAATTTAACATTATTCAACACTAAAAAGAAAAATCCACTATTAAATCACAAAAAGACATGGAGAGACCTTAAATACACATTATTAAGTGAAAAAAGCCAATCTGAAAAGACTACATACTGCATGATTCCAACTATGTGACGTTCTGGAAAAGGCAAAACTACGTGCTAGAGTGAGAGAGGGAATGAATAGGCAGCTCACAGAGGACTTTTAAGGCAGTGAAAATACTCTGTGTGATAGTGTAATAGCTGATGTGTGGCATTATACATTTGTCCAAACACATAGCATTTACACCACCAGTCATGAGCCCTGACGTAAACGATGGAGTTCAGGTGATTGTAACATATCACTGAAGATTCATCAATTGCAATAAATGAACCACTCTGGTAGGAAGTGTTGATAATGGAAGACGTTATGCATATGGGGACAGGGACATACAGGAACTTTTTGTACTTTCCCTTCAGTTTTGGTGGGAAACTAAAACTGCTCTAAAGATATTGTAATTTTTAAAAAGAGATAAACATTAGAACTGTTGTGTAAGACAAACTCACTAGGTTGATTTGATTAGGAAGTGGTAGAGAATAACATATACTTCTATTTGTATATAGATACCAGCGGGGAGGGGCCAAAATTGTCTTCTGGAAGGTGGGCCCCTTGTAGCACAGTGTTCCCTCACTCAGTGAGTGTTCTAGAAACTGTTTTGTATCAGTGTACCAGCTGGCATTGGTGTGAGAGGTTGTGTTCTGTCCCAGTGAATGTTTTTGAAGACTTAACACATTGCCCATTTAATGATGGATGATTTATGAGTGCACCCTCCCACACTGCACTGAGTGTTTGGTTTTTGACCCCCCCAAAAGTCATGACCCCCATGCCCCATCCTCCCTATTTGCCCAATCTCACCCTGAGCTACTTCTTTTTGTTTGTTTCCCTGGATGAAAAAAGTCCTCTAAGGGAAACATTTTGCTTTTGGGAGAGGTAAAACAAAAAAACAGCAGAAGCGCTAAAAGGCATCAAAATTGATGATTTCAAAAACTGTTTTAAGCAGTGGAAAAATGTCTCAGTAAGTGTATTGCATCAAATGAAGAGTACTTTCAATGTGACTGAAGTATAAACATGTAAGAATAAATACACTTTTTTTACAAATAAAGTCTGTTTTGGGGGGTCCCTCCTCATATATTTCTACCCATGAAAAACACTAACCCCATTCTTTATATAACTTCATATAACTAAAAGTATAAAAATACTTATTTGTTTTATAGTACACAAGCATAAGGAAGCACAGATTCTTCTGTGTTTCCATATTTATAAAGGATGTCATAAATTCTGACCTTAGGCATGCATGAATGGTCAGGCTGATTTTCAACACAGCAGAGGAAACTATCCTGCCCACTGGATTAGGTTTAATATTTAAAGAGCATTTTTATAGCTCCAAAATATTAATACTTTATCTACATTAAACACTGAAAAGCATGAATCAATAGATAACCAATTCCATGCAAAAATTCAGTAACTATTTGTGTTACAGCGCATAGAAAAGAAGAGCATTTAGTAGGGGTTATTGTTTAGATAGATTTCCTTTTTGATATTTTTCTAATTCTATTTTTTCAAACAGTGTTTGTGCTTCCTGCCCCTGGAGGTTCTCTCTACCAATGATAACAGAAGGTCCCACAAAAGATCTAGTTTTTCCTTGTATGGTTGATGGGTTATGATTTACTCACCAGTATTCAGGTTTTCAAGAGTAGCCTTCTAGTACCATCTATTGATAACTTAGCTATTGCACAAAGGGAGTTTGGGGTAGAGTATAAAAATATTTGAGATTCTTACGTAATTGTAACATATTCTGGGTTTGACTCAAAGAACCACCCCTTAAATTACTCCAATGTACAGGCATCAATACACAGGTCTGGGGTTTGGGTAATTGAAGCTGTCAGTTTCATCCAGACGCAGTTCTGAATGAATAACCCAGACGTGAGACAACCAGAAGCTGAATAAATCAAGCGGCGTGTCCAACAGAACTATTTGTGTAATTGCTTCAATTACTCATGAGGCTTTGAGTGTGGAAACTTGACCTGTGAAATCTTGGAGGTCAAAACACTCAGTTTCTACCCCGAACACCAATAACTACAAAAAAAAATTACTTATTTTTCCTGCTCTATCTGTCAGCTGGAGTGTCCACCAAATTTCTTTTTACCTCCTCTTCCTCAATTTAGAAAAAGAAAGAGCCAAGCAGTTATAAAAATATATTAGATTCAACTACCTCTGATACCGAGCCTTGGAAATCCTGAAAAAGTGAAAATAGGGCCTCAGGGAATAACCAGCTTTGTGCTTTGTCAGGACTCTGCTGAGCCAATGACAGACAGTATCTCCAACATGGACAAAGGTCGCTTTGCCCAGGGTTTTTTAAGTTCCTGCAAAAACAGTGTTCGATTTTTTTTTCTTTTTTAGTATGTCAAGGGCGCCAGGACCAGCGATCACTAGCTGCCCAGGTACCAAAAAATTATGCTTCCGAAATCTCTTGATGTCAATCCCGCACATAGAGCAGTCAAGCTGCCCTACGTGTGCCACTCACGACAGAAGCCCTTTTTTTTGACAGTGTTAGATTTTAATCCAATACTAAGAACTAATTCAACACAGGAATATGTAGAGAGAGGGAGCAAGGCTCAAGAAGAAAGGAGAAAAAAGGAAATTAGTATTTGTTGAGAGCAGGCTATCCTAATAATAATAATAATAATAATGATAATGATAATAATAATACAGAAGTGAACCCTTAGAGTACTTAAAATATGCCAGGCACTGTTCTGTGAGTTTTCCTGTAGGCAGCATGTCACGTATGCATATCAGGCCGTTTAATTCTAACCACAAGCCTATACAGAAGGTACAATTATTATCCCTTAGAGGGTGGCTTCTGTTCTTGTCCTGTGCCTTCCTGATTCTAGATCCAGTTCTCCATCCCAATGAAAAATAAGGCATAACTGCAAATGTGTGAGGGAATGAGGTAGGTATTCTTTAGAGTTTCACAGAAAGATGGAAGCATATATTATATGTCATAAAAGTCTTCATCCCTTTCCATATTCCATATCTCCATTCTCCTCACACCGTCTTCTTCATACTCGGGGCCTGTGGAAACTATTTTCTTATCAGGCCTTCGACAGAAAATCCACTCAGTGGGACAAGGTGAGGTTGCTCCCCGCTTAGAGAACAGGTTAGGTGCCATCGAGCTCCCCGCACACAGGCCTCCAGGCCATTTTATCCACCTTCACTGCTTATCAAACTATTTATCTAACCGGTACTTCTTTCCCCTGGGGAGAGGTCTGATGCTGAGAAAATTAAGTGTTCTCCACATCCTCACATTATGTCTCATGCATTTTGTATGGACCGTTACTAGCTTTTCACCGTGGCATTATTAGGCAGTCATTATTACTTTCTGTTTTAAAGGTGAGAGGGGCCTGAGCTTCACAAGTTAAATAATTCAGGATTGACCAAACATCCCAGTTTGTCTGGGACTGTTCTTATTTAGTACAGAAAGTTCCAGGTCCTGGGGAACCCCTCAATTATTGGCAAATCAGGACTGTTGGTTATACTAACACTAGTATAGTAGTGATGGTTGGTTTACAGTTCAGGTCTTCTGGCTCAATGAACACTTGTTGAAAGAGAGAGACAGTTTAGGGGAAAAGAAAAAGGGAAGAAAGAGAGGGAGGGAGAACTGGAGGAAGAAGAAAAGAAATAAAGAAATTTCATGGTGATTTATTATCTCATGAATTTTAATATTATATTATGCATAATTTATAGTCCATATACAATGTAATATAGATAGATATAGATGATAGATAGATAGATAGAGAGATAGATAGATAGATACAGTTGGCTGATCTATCAGCCAACAACCTATGTTGGCTGATACAACAAATCATGAACAACCTATGATGGTTACTTAATATTTGAACCACAAATACTTGAACTATCTTTAATACATAATCACTATAGAGTTAGTTTATTTGCATAAAAATATTGGAAATCCCTTCATGGTTGAAACAAGCAGCATCAAAACAGTGGATTAGATATAAGAATCTAGCATGCCCAGTAGCCTGACACCTTTCCAAGTGGTATGCTTGCCCTCCAAATCATTCCTGAGCCCCACAATTTCACGGAGGACTCTGTCACCTTATTCCATGAGGCGTGATTCAGCATGAAAATTAGCTGAATCTTGGTGTTGGAGTAGCGTTGAATACACCTCCAGAGAACCTTTATTTAGAGAACTTGCTACCAGATAGCATGATGCAGTGAAAGACAGAGACTGAAGGACAGGTAAGGGGACCTCACTGACTTTACAAGAGCAGGCCCAGTGGTCCTTCTTGTGGGGCTGGTCATGGTCTGCGTGAGGGGAAGACTTCGGTGTGAAGCTGTAACATAGCACATGGGCACGGGGCTGTAGGGGAAAAAGCCTATAGCCTTCACCAACCTCATGAACCGCCAGGTTAGCCCACATCTGTTCGTAGCCCTCTCCTGCTCCACAGGTAGGCTCCCTCATACTACAAAATAAGATAATAAAAATTCTTTTTTTAATAAATAATACATAGAAATGACTTGCTTTAGCCAGAATGGCTTTAAACAGTTGTCTATAAAATAAGACTTCCACTTCCACAATAGCTATAATATATGAGCTCTGGAAGAAAGAATAGAATGAGCTGTGATGAGAGTTGCCCAACATCGAATTAAAACAAAAGAACTTGAAAATGGCTTTCTTATTCCCCTGGGCATTATTAAAGAGGACAGACTGTCCTAGTGCCTTGCCTCAGCAGAGGGCATCCTCTTTGCTTCTGGGAAAAGGAGAGTTAATCCGAACAGAATATAGCTGTTAAAAATCCCTCCCAAGTTCACACTTCGAGATTTGTGTTACAGTCATTGATTCTTTTACCACCTCTCCTGCATTTGCCAACCCACTAAACCTCTTGTCGGGCCAGAAATTCAACTTCTATAAAATGGTCATTCCTTCTTACTATAAAACATTTAATTGAGTTAATATTTCACGTTTTTCATTATCGTTATAAGGAAGCATTAATGGTGAGGGGGAAAAAAATCAGTCAGCAAAATTTCTATTACTTTGCCGTTAGTGAATGTGGTCATTAGGCCCTACCTTGGGAAGATCTCATTTCCTGAAGGACCTGAACAATGATGAACTAAGAGAGACAGTTGAAACATATAAATACATAATCTTAACCAAATATAGGGAGAGTCAATTCAGGGCAAGTTCACTGGTGTCTACTTCTTGAACAGGTTCCCTCCCCCACGTAATAGATTTCTCCCAGAAGAAATAGGCAAAGCAAATGACCATCCATTGCCTCACTATCTGCATTGCTTTGCAGTTTAAATTTCATGTTTCCTTTGTAGCTTTTCGATTTTGCATATTTAATGTTTTACATCAGCATGACTTTTTCAGGATATAAATGAGCATGTAGGGTATATTCTTTTAAAGAAACGATTCACTTGGCAGAAATTCTTCAAATGATGCTTAGAGCTGAACCCTTTATTCCAAAAGTGGGAACTATATAAGCCCAGCTAACAAAGACATTTCTGAGCCTTTCACACTGAAAAGTATAGAAAAGAAAGTGTTTTCTTTTTCCCTTGCTCTCAATGTTAAGACTTCCACAGACTCAGCAATAAATGGCCCTCTGATCCATTGTTTCTAAGAATTCAGTCTCAACTTAAACCATAAATTCTGTGTAAAAATAACGGCAGCACTTGGTATAAAAACCCATTTCAAACAAGGAAAGGGATCAGCATAAGGATACCAGGGGAATTAAGCTATTTGGCTTGTATAAGCTTCTCAATTTTGCAAGGCAAAGGTTTTAAACAGGAAAAAAAGAACAAAGTGACAGTCGATGGGAATACAGTATTAAAAATAGGAGGTCTCAGAGGTGAACACTGAGGGGCGACAGTTAGCTGTAGATCGGGCTTCTCACATCACACAGGGTTCAAGTCTGCACACTGTACATCAAGAAGGGTCTGCCCAATGTCACATACATAGCAGTGGCAGTGAGAAAGTATGCTGAACCCAGAGATGAAAAAAACAGGACTCCAAAGCCATTCCTGCAGGGTGTAAGTCCTAAGGAAAAATGAAAAAAATTGGAAGGAAAAAGCAGGAAGGTATATTTCAGCAGAATCTAAGGAAGACCTTTCTAAATTTTGGAGTGGTCCGAAACCAAGATTCTATCTAGGTATTGTACTTCCCATTACTGGGGCCGTTCACACAGTGACTAGACAACCTCTTACCAGAGGTGCCATTGAGGGGATTTGTATGATAAGCCCCAGGGGTACAAATGTACTTCTGGGAGTTCTTCTGTCCTGCCTCTGAATTCGGCAATGCTGAAGTGGGCAGGTGTCATGATATGCTGGACCTCAGAGATAAACGGTCTATATCTTAACATTAAACAAGAACAAGAAGAAGGCCAGCATAATAAAAACTCATCTGACACCGGTTCTGATAAACTTGGTCTTATTTTTATTTCTTAACAATAAGTCCAGAAATAGGCAGAAGCTGACAATGGACTAGCCTGAATCCCAGCAAAGAACCAGCTTGTGGATACACTGGGAGCATCTGGTGCCCTGGAGAGCAGAGTTTGGGTGCAGAAAAGACTGTCTGGGGTTGTTCTTTGGTTAGTCAAGTAATATTCAATGGATTAAATTCATGCATGTTATCTTAAGTTTGAGGCTCACATTCTTCTTCTTCTTTCATTGTAAGTTTAACAAAATGTAATAGCTCTGAATAAACTTACTCCAATTTGCAAACTTAATTATATGCCTTCAAACATTTTAACAGCGGTATAAATGTAATGTGTTTGATTTTCTTTTTAAAATACTCCCATTTTATGCCTGACAAAACTTCCCACTTAACTACATAATTCTAAAAAGCCTAGTAAATTAAATTTATAGATATGGTGACTCATTACCTAAAATATTCTAATGAGATTACACACATATTTGAATGTGGTCTAGTCTATCTGCATGTCTATATTCATATACGTAGGTTATTTCACACAATAGGAGGCTAAATATATGATGTCCATGCTTGTGATAACATTCCCTCCTTATCCTGCACTTTTAATTTCTCCTCTCTTCTGTCTTCTTTCTTGCAGTGCTTACAGATTCATATCTCTCTGAGCATAAAGATAGAAAATGCTTAAATGACCTGGTGATGCCTGTTAGCTACTCCTTGTCTCTTTCTTCAAGGTCAATCCTTGAAGAAAGTAGTGATTTGCAAACCCTGTGTTCCCCTCTTCAACTTCACACTGTTCAAGCTGTGGCCCACCCAACTGCACATGCAATGCACTTTCCCTGAGTCCAGTCTCCTGGATCTCATTGTATAGTTGTATTTCACATCGTTCATCCTTCAGATTATCCCCTTCGCTCTGATGACATTTCTGTTTATCCCCCAGCTTCTCCGCTAGCTCATTCTCAGATTTTTCCTTTGGTGACTTCCCTTTATAGTCCCAGTCTATAAAATATTTGAGCCCTGCCTGGTTCTGCTCTTGCCCCCTTCCAAGAGAGACCTCCTCCACATCTCTGCTTCACTGGCATCTGTGTAATA